CACATCGCTGGTTAGTCATACGCATGCCTACGGTAGATGGAGATATTAATAATTGGCGGGATAATTGCTCCTCATTCGTCGGTCAGGCTTCTCCTTGTGAATGCTTCACTCAAATGGTAGCTCAAGGTTAATTGCCGGGCTGGGTTTTTTTAAAGATAAAGTCATTCGAAACCTTCACTGAAGCAGAAGCTGCATTCATATCACTGGATTACTATCTGGATTACTGCAGAATTTTTGAGTTAATTCATTTAATTGGAAAAGTATCAGGTTGGACATGCAAAGAAGAAAAATTATTGCGAAGAAGGAAGGAATGGATGTGCTTAACCCCTATACATACAATTTCATAATAATTTATTCATTTATGAAGTGCAAGTTCCATATAATTACAGGCATGTTCAAATACACTGTACAATAAAGCATAACCATGCTTGGGCCAAAGGCATACGATGGCCACTCAGGTAGCTGCCAATGGGTATGTTCTGACATAAAAAGGTTAATCCTAATTTAATTGAATTCGGGCTGAGTTTAGATAAGAACTGCTTAATCCAAAATATGCTCTCGTTCAGACCAGGAAGTTATGCTAGCACCACCCGGTGTACCAAACCAAAAAGGGGCTCAAGTTAACCCACTGTGGTTACACAATGTTTGCCCACCTCCAGACCTTGCAGAAGTTCAACGAAATACCAGAGTACCTTTCCTTCCTCCATGCATCGACGTAGTTAGGTTGGCAGGTCGTGCTCAAGCACGTACTTAATCAAGATGGTACATGTACGTCCATGCAGACAATGCATTTCATGGTTTACTTCAGTGTCCAAGTGAAAATACAGTGCATTGTTACAGCAAGGAGCTGTAAAACACATAGCAAAATGGAGCATCAACTTTTGGTGAAAAGCCAAGTCAAGTCTGAAGTCGTTTTTAAAGTAGTATTTGTGGAAGTCTGAAGAAGTGTTGTGCCTGCGAGTGCTTGCCTAAACTAAAACTCCTTGCAACTTTATTCGTCTTGAAAACAGTCTAGGCAGCAATGAGCCTGGCAAAAAGGAGTTTGGTATTGGAAACTGTGATTTAAAAACCAAGACATTCTGTGGGTAAATATGTAGTAGTTACTTCCCATATATGTAGATTGCCTCATCCATGGTGGACATAAATGGAACTTCTTTTGCATGGTCTTTTTTTCATTGGGTACTTTGAAAAAAATTGGTAGATGTTAAAAACCCAAATCATTCAACAGTATTTTTAAGTCTGTCGAGTGTAAAACGATGTGCATGCGTCTCCGTTGAGTACGCTGTAGGCATGAAGGAACGCTGGCCTACACATTGGGTCAAATTCAAGAAACTATGCCTGGAAGCAAGGCCAGTTTTGTCCACATGTTATTTTGCAGCTTGTCGCCGTGGGGGGAGATCTTTATCTTTCGCGTGATTTACGCTAATCCACTGATTTTTGGCAGTCCAAGTTGCGCCAACTTAGTGGCGTAACTTACTCCACCTCAGCTGGATTAGAGCGTTCAAACAGAGAGGTGACTTAATATTTTCGGATCAACCCCTATTTGACACCTTGTCTAAACATACCCAATGATCCACATCTGCCAACACAGCACAGCCAACTGATCATAAGAGTCAAATGTTTTGCAGAGGGAGGAGAAAGCGGGGACCCCGCAGAAAAAGCCTCAAAACACAGGAGATAACCAATGAACAACTCTACTCATATAATGACCAAGGCCAAAGATTGAACTCAGGACCACAGTGGTGAGAGGAGAGTGCTTCATTCACTAGCCACCCTTGCCACCCCATCTTGTGGATCTTATGAAGTTGTTTCAACTAACAATTTTTTCTTAAATCAATTTCTTTGTCTTTGTATTTAGCTCTACAGCCTTAGCCTCATATCTTTGACACTGTTTAAAACTTCAATTCCCCTTACTATGATGTTTTAAAATAACTTATTTTTTTCAGCGGAAGAAGTTTCTAATTAATTTAAGGGAGTTTGCATGGATACTCATCCAAACAATGACAATGATGACAACAGATTCCCAATTCATTTGGGAGATCAGCTGGCAGCTGGGGGATCTGAGAATGAAATACCTTGGCCCTTCCGGCATGACCAGAGCTACGTTGCCTGCATGACATTTTCCCGTCAAGTTCATCCTCACAATCCAATTAGAGTGAAGAGTGATTTCCTGACTTGTACTTGGTTTGGACTATTCCAACCATACCTTCTTTTGATTGTCCCAACTTAAACCAAATAGGATCTGGACAGGATGGCGTGTACAATAATCTGGTTTGAACTGTTCATCTCTAAGGTACTTAGGGTAAAAAAAAATGGGGTTCAGCTCCACTTTCTCAATGGAGAATTAGGAGGGGGAGGGGCTGAAGTACACGTATATACACTGCCAGTCTGTAGTACATACTCATATAACCCAGTGAATCACTCTTCAATACAATAAGGTTTCCATATTTCCTGTTTGTGAAGTATAGGAATCTATTCATCGAGGGCTATTAACCAACGGGGTTAGGAAGGGAACCCCATGAGCAGCCAAGCCCCCTGTAACTCTTCATTAGTCTCTTCCTACCCAGACTCATGCATTTGCCATGAATGTTTTGATTTATTGTGGTCTCCCCTATGTCTGTCACAGACCCAGGGGTATGACAGACTCTAGTGCTGCATACCTATTATCAAGGCAGTCCGCTGCACTTCTGCTTTGGTTGTGACTTTCTTGGTTTCACGGTTCACTACATCTGGGTTAATTGTAATATTATGCACATGAATTTGCACGCAATTACCTGAGACAATGCCCTCAGCAACGCTTCATCATTCCATCCTTTGTACCTCAGATCTCGGGTCAAGCAGTTATTGTAAAAGCGCTCTCTTCTGAATCTCAGAGATACATTTTAATTTAAGGATCAAGCCCATGCCCAAGATGATATTTCTTGTGTCCTGGATTAACACACTTGTTCACAAATTGCTTCCATCAATTAGAAATAAGTGGGTTCCTCTTTTGGAAGGTGCACATACTGGTACACATTAATGACAGCAGATATAACGACCTTAAAAAGATCCAAGAGTGGATATTTTCCTCGCTCTTTCTTCACATTTTATGAATGCATGTTGATGATATGGATAAGCACAATGGACAATGTATTTCCAAGGAAGCTGAAGTCACTTGCATCAACAGTCTCTACCATACTTAAGCCTCCTGGTATTTCCAGACCTGAACCGGCATCGACCTGCCTTTTTTTTATACCTGTCATAACCAAACCACACAGTAAGGCAATCACCACACAATATGCCACCAGCAAGCCACTGGGAACAGGCTCAGATGGGAAATGAGAAGGCGTGATACCCGGCTTGTTAACACTCAAGTCACAACAAGAGTCCAGCCAAGGCTCTTTGATAGGATCTTACATTGTCCCTGAGGGCTCATCCGGGAGTTCAGATCTTCATTTCCCCTCCTGGTTCTCAATAACAGGCCAGTGACATTAAAATTCAAAAGCAAGCTCCTGTTTAGGTGCATTCCCATGCCAAATTCCTCAACATGCAAACAATGATCACTTACTGTGCTTGTTTTCAAGCCACATGTACGGTACCTGAAATTTGTTCGCAACTAATGCCACACTCTTCAAGTACACATTCATACACATTCAGGGAAAAAACTAACTCCCCAAAGAACACAAAAAGAATTAATGCAACGGATTTGTAATGTTTCCCCCAAAGGAAATCAAAAGAGGATTGAAAAGGTCTCCTGCTGAAACCTGTGTACATGTGTAGGCCCATGTTGGTGTTAACCGACATCCCTGAAAGCCACTGATGATAGATACATGTAAACATGCAACCCCCACACAGCCAAAGGGCTCTGTTTTGGACACTCTGGACGATTTTAGTCCCATTATTTCTTCTGAATTACTAAAATGAGTTTAATCAGAGTATAAGGCTAGGAAGTGTTGAGTTACTGCACATCACAAAACAAAGGCACGAAATTCATGAGGGCCTTAAAATGACCCATTTAAATGTAAGTGACACAATGCAGATAGGAGTTACATGCACATATATGTACAATAAACAGAACATTTGACATTATGTATGTGTTTACATGTACATGTACATGTATAATGGCAACAGGGCTGCCTTATAAGCAAAGCTATCCCCATCAAATCTTGAAAGTCATTCCACACGAGAAACTTCCATGGATGGCTTAAAGACAGCTACATGTACATGTACGCAAAAAAATCATCTCCAGGTCACAGCGTCTGATGGCTGCAAGCCATTTTTCTAAAGCCTTGGTCACGTTCAAGTGGGAAAGCTTGGCCCAGAGTAGAAAACTAGAGCCAATTTTGGTGCACAGGCCTGGTGCTTGCTACATGTTTACTGTCTTAGGTTTCGCGAGCAGTTGAAACACGACCACGTCCGAGGAAGAGGCTCGAGTGATAAGATTCTTGAGTCTAACATTGCAACTCAAATGTGTCACAAGAAACAAAGATATCTATGAGCATTTCTGTGTGTAGGGATTGCATAGGGCTGGCTGTTTAAAAAGGCAGGTCTTTATTTTAATTTCACATAATTTCTCACATTCTCTCTCATTATCATACATGTATGTTCGTATCTGGTGCATGTACTTTGAGAGTGTTTGTTTTATATCGAAGAAGGCTTGTAAAATAGTTTCCACAACATGGCAATTACATGTATTTTCCTTTTCCATGAATACTTTATTGACACTTTGTTCAGCTTTGTCTGAATCTTAACTATTCAATATTCCTTTGACACCCACTCAATTGTGTCTAATAATGGGAGGAGGGTAAAATCATGGGCAGGGGGGATAAACAATTTGGAAATTTGTGTAACCTTTTATGGACTTTCTGAGGGGCGATGTTAAAGGTTGGGGTTTTTCATACACTCAAAACCTCCTTTTATGATTGGGTCTCCCTGAATCCACCAGTGATGTCAATGCCTACTGTTGTGTAATAAAGGGTGAGGAGGGGTTAATTTGACAGGAGCTGGGAAATATCACTCACCTGCAAAGTTATCATTGCACACGCAGGTATATCCAGCTTCTTTCTGGATGCACTGCCCATTGCTACCACAAGGATTAGAGTAGCAATAGTTGATCTCTGTTGTGCAATAGTTGCCTGTGAATCCTGGTGGGCACTCACACCTGTACAGAGTCTCAGGATGGATGGAACGAAAGATGACGGTCTGGGTCGCAATGAAGCCTGATGAACTCCAGAAGGAGAGCGGGGAGAGACACCGGGAGTAAATTTTTTCACCACTGCAAACTTCGTAAAGGCAGAGGTTGTCACCAAAGGGCAACACCTTTGCCGTGGAAACTTCGGAGAGGGTAGACCGCATCAGGTAGACTCGCTCCTGGAGGTACTGGGAAGTGAAGAAGGTGCCGTCTTGGTGCTGGGCGGCAAAGGAGACATTAAGGATGGGTGGGTCACTCACAATGTCGTGGTTCTTGACACTGAAAACATACACCAGGTTGCGTTGTGTGGGGATGATGTTGGACAGGGCATCGATGAAACGATTGATCTTTGGGGAAAGGAATTCCTGGGAGTTTGTGTCCTCCAGTTGGACAGTGATACTGCTCATTAGCATGTTATCAGTGACCATTGTTAGACGGAAGGTGCACTGTGCCATCATAGCATTCAGGCCATCTGAAATGACAACGCAAAACAAAAAGCAGGAAGTTAACATTCTGATCTAAAGCCCTCAGTGCATTTTCATGCTCAGTGCATATAGAAACCTAAAGTGAAATGCTACTTGATTTTTTGGATGCCAAGAAACTTTTGAAAAATTTATTTCAGAACACTTTGGAATTCTACAGAGCAAAAAATTTGGAAGTATTTTGAGACTTTGTAGAGCAAAGTGTAAAAGAAGAGGAAGAAATTAGTGAGACTTTGGGGATTCTGAGCAAACACTGGTTCATTCTTATGTGGAACCTGAAGTAGAATAGTTCCTTAGAACTGTCTGTGTGTGAAAATTGACTGTAAATCATTTCACATAAAATCAAACATTCCTACCAAGAGGTAGATACATGACCTATTGCCATCTGCACAATCTGTTCAGATGTCTTGTCAGTTGTTAAACCAATTCCACTGAAGGCCTTTTAGAGAATGGGAAAATTTGTTTAGACTCTTGTGTATTTCAACATATCACCAAGGTCACTTTTTTGGCAGTCTATTTGTTAAACACCTTGAGCTCCTGCACAGTGTAGACCTAGATTTTTCTCCCCTAAATCAAGAGATCCAAGAGGTCAGAGAACTGGAATGACACCAGTGTGGCCTTCTACCAGACTCATAACCAAGTAACTCCTGTTTCTTAAAGTAATTCACTGTCTATTGCTGGCATCATATCCAACAGAGATCATCACAAAAATAGGTATTCGACACCACGAAGAATGATTTTCAGATGTTAAGTGTCAAGTTCAGAAGCGGGTGATGAAAACGATTGGTGATGCACTGTCCTCAAAATTGCACCTTCTGTAGAATAAACACAGCTCAGTTGGCCCTACCTGGCACAAACGTTTCTTTCGTCATCTGATACACAGATAGTTTTCCTACATTTGAAGTAAAATTTGCTTTAAAAAAGGAATGTAGTACTTAAAAAAAAGGGAACTTAATTGGACCAACACTTGGAAAATTCCTGTTGCTTTCCACAGTATGTTTTGATGCCTAAAAAGGTTTCAGTTTGAACCAAATAGCAGCTATCCAACTATGAGACATTGGAAAAAATTCTCATACATACATGACTAAAGTCCATTTTATAGAAATATGCTTGTGTGATTTAAAATTCAAAATGTCTAAACTAATTTCACATTCTTCTGATTGTGTAAGGTCTACATGTATAGATTTCTACTGATGATCTGTTGATGCAAATACACCAGAATTCAGGGCAAACCTTGAACTCTAATGGCACTTGAATTTTTTTTTTTAATTCAGTCAGCGTTTCAATGAGTACTGTGTAGCACAGTGCAAGCACCAAAAATGCCAACCCTACTTAGGTCATAAATCAGTCATAGTCAGCAACATCAGAAGCTGTTATTGGATGCTGCCCAGAACGAGTACCTAACCTGTACTTGTACCTAAATGTGAACAGAACTAACAATTCTGGGAAGAGAAGGCTTTTTTTGTTCACCGGTTTCAGGAAGTAGTAAAGTTAATTTGCCAAGATACAATTGTGATTAATGCTGATGAAAAATCAGTCTGTGGGTTTTGCATGTAAATGGGGAACTTGTGCTACAATGAAAATTATTTTCAAAAAAAAATTTCAGGCCTCTAACTTCTAAAATTTTGATTCCACTTTTAACAGAATATGCATGCATGAAAATAGCAGGATACAGATGTTCATACAACTCAGTAACTATGCATAAATTATTGTGATGAGGATTCTGATCTACAGTATTTGTTAAAAGGGTGTATTAGGTATGACTTTTTTACGTGTACCCAGGTACCTGCTTTAGAAGCTCTAGGGCCAACTGCAAAATTGCATTTCAAATTTGTGAAATTTGCCTCAAGTCAATTTTTTATGCACCATTTAAGATCACTATCTCGCACTTTAGTAAACCAGATAGCAATCATGCAAAATGCATTGCAAAAAAAAAGATATGTTCCCAGTGAGTTTATGGCAGCTTTCTCCCCCTTAAATGAGACTACTACATGCAGCCACACAGCCAGTACAATTGATCCCAGGAAAGCCTTGTGGGGATACAGGACGTTTTCTAAGTGACTGCGCGGTACTGTATTATTGCCAAGCGTGCAGTTTGGCTCAGGGCGCCCATAACCGGTACACAATGCACGGGCACGCAAGGGCTGTGGGTACGGTGTGTACGGCACTGGCTTTAATAACAATCCCTGCACCTGGTGGGAAAAGGTGTTGGGGTCATGTGATCTGGCCGTGAAATGTGCCTGCTGCGGGAGGGAGGAGGGGAATGCAAGCCAGTATTGGCAGAGGATGACATCATATTACCTCCTGGATATTGGTTTTGGGCAAAGTTTCGGATGTCACTCTAACATCAAAATGAATGAAGCCAATCTTGTGAAAGGCATGCATCAAAAACTGAAAGATCCAAATGTACACCACCAGGATTATGATCGTACACGTAAATGAACATGTACGGTCTGTACATGTGTAGTGCGGGTACACTGTACATGTACATGCATGTGGTAACTTACAATGTTGATGTGCACTGAGGTCTCACTGAGGTGAAAGAGATCCTTCCAGTTTGTACCATGATTTAACCTTTACAAGTCTGACATGGAAAATGAGACAGCGTGCAGAATTGACATCAACAATAAATTGTAATTACACAGTCTTCTGTCAATGTCTCGATCCATTTGCAAAATTCTTAAAATTTACCACTACAGGGGACGTAAGTCAGGAAATCAAGATGTGGGTTGAGTTGGTAATGTCATCAGTAGCTAAGCTTTTATTATAGAAACCAAGCAAAGACACAGTGAACACTGCAGCTCCTTTCACTGCAAAGTGGGTAGTCTTCAAGCTGTGTTTTGTGTTGAGTGGATTCAACTATATTTGGTCCATTTGAATTCACTAAAGAAATATTCATGTTTAGAGCATAATGATACATGTAAAATGTATGCATGAATTAATGCACTAAATTAATATCTTTTAAAAAATTTCCTTGTTTGATTTCAACAAGTTTTGAATGTTCAAACTCTGTACACCCTAAACACAGTTGTAAACTTCAGCATATCTGTATTTTTGATATGGTGGCATAACTGCTTTTGGCCAAACCACTTCACATCTCTCTTGGTCAACTACATGTATTTTGTTCAGCACTAATTTGCCTGTTGTACAGTTACACAAATGAAATTCACCATTAAGAAAATCCCTCAACTGCCATTATTCAGAATGGCCCGAGGCACGACTGCTCTTGCAGCACGCATCACTGGATACAAATGTACATGTATTGACCAGAGTGGACATTTAGCAGTCCCAAGGGGCACTACGGACAATTTTCAATTTCCGTCCAGCAAATTCGTGCAGGGCTTCATGTATGCTTTGACCATATTTGGAATGTAAGTCAAAAAAGGTGACAGAGGATTGAAATAGGACTCGTAGGTGGGGCTTACAACACGAGTGATTCCATCGCCGATCCTCGAGGAGAGAAATATGAGGATGCACTTTGTAAGTATATTAGACAGCAAGAATGGCCGAAGTGTGACCAATCAGTGCAGTACCTGATATTGCAGAAAGTGCAGTGCATGTGAAGATATTTATTATTCACACCAAGCATGTCACTCTCATCAGAGTAATTTGAGAAGTGTTGATGCCTTCTGTGCTTTTTTTTTTTGAGAAAAATGGGAAAATATATATGAAGCTGCCTTTTGCAAATAATGGCAAGTCGTTAAAATTTCATCATCAAAATAATAATTTTTTATCAAGTACAAAAAACCATTCAACAAAATGAAGTTGAAAAATGTTATCAGTACTTTCAAGAGAGTAATATCTTTTTGTCTACAATGTATTACATGATTCTGTTGGAAGATTAGAAATAGAAGAAATGTCATTTTAAAATTGTCTTTGTACATGGATGTTTTATAGTCACATTGTCAATTGTAATTAGTCAACAAAATAATGTAATTTTTTTAAACGTATACTGTACAAAAATTTAGTGACATGAGGGGAAACATCATGCATTAGCCTCTGTGCTCAAGAGCAATGCCTCCAAGTGTGACAAAATTGTAATTAATGACAAACACATGTGGACTGGAAGTCTGTGACAGGTGACAAGCATCATGAAGTGACTAGGCCCCAACTGGACTTGGCAATGTAATAGGCAGATGAGGGTATGGAACATTAATGGAGGGTAACCTATACAACAAACGGATGCTGTCACAGTTGACTACACCTGAACAGTCACCACACTAGTTGCTGGGGTGGTGGGGGGCACATATAAAGAAGAGTTAGCCAACATATTTCAAGTTAGTGGTACTTCATCTTCTGTGCTGCTGAGAACACTGTACAACAGTCTGCCTGACATATAGAAAAGCTGCTTTCATCGCTGCCACAAGTACATGTATCAGTTGAGGTAAGAGACAAATTCTCCATGGTCTTAGAAATTTTCTTCAAACAAGAAAAGACCATACAGCCACACAGAAGATCATCTGAAGTTTGTACACACACTAATCATACATGTACAGCATATGCAAACAACTGCACACATAAAATATGCATGTGAATTTAACTCACACAAGCAGTTTTTATATTCATAAAATCATCCGGTCAGTGCTATAAGGTCGTTATGGCAGTAACAACCTTATAGCACTGATGATTTTGAAAATAATTTTTGGGCCCTATTCCAAGCATGAAAATTTTTTATAATGAAACAGATAATGTTACACATTATGTCATTGATAAAAATCATTTGGGGGGACTGTTTCTCAAATCTTCACCGGGACTTTGCTTGTATTTCAAGTTTAAAAAATTTCATTAACGACCTTTTAGTGCGAATATTTTGTTAACGACCTTATAGTACTAATACAGCAAAATACATAACATACATACATGTACATCCAGCTAACCAAATCCATATCAGACTCAAGCGAGTTATCGGGATTAAGTGTCAAATGCTGAAGAGTTGACTGTACAGCTTGAAGGTATTTTATCAGATTTTCTGTTTGCAGTTTAAGTAAGG